TTTTTTTTTTTGAGACAGAGTCTTGCTCTGTTGCCCAGCCTGGAGTGCAGTGGCGTGATCTCAGCTCACTGCAACCTCCACCTCCTGGGTTCAAGCAGTTTTCCTCCCTCAGCCTCCCAAGTAGCTGGGATTACAGGCGCATGCCAACACGCCTGGCTAACTGTTTTATATTTTTAGTAGAGACGGGGTTTGACCATGTGGGCCAGGCTGGTTTCAAACTCCTGACCTCAAGTGATCCGCCCGCTCAGTCTCCCAAAGTGCTGGGATTACAGGTGTGAGCCACCACGCCTGGCCTTCTTTTTAAAATAATAAACCTGAATTATGAATTGTTCCACCTGGAACTTCCTAATCTTGATGTAAATAATAACTACTATGGGCAATAAGCCAACTTCTTTTGGAAGGCTACATAACATGGGGTAAACCACAGCCTAAAGCTAGCCCCCAGCAAAAGGGGGAGAGAAATGGGTTCAAAACCAGCTATGTGATTTTGGCTCAGTCACCTAACTCCTCTGAACCTCAGTTTTCTTGTCTATAAAATGGAGCTAACAGTATTTATCTTATACGTTACTATGAAAATTAAACACAAAATCCATGTAAAGTGCTTAATGTAGTGCATGGTACAGAACATGCAGTCAATGGTAGTTATTGTAAATGGCTCTTTGTCAAGGTTCAAATACCTTCATGGAACTCCTGAAGTCTTCAGAGGGGCCTCACAGTTATGCAGGCCAACAATCTCACTTTAAAAATGAAGACCCTGAGGTCTAGGGGGAGTCCCACAGGCTTCAGATCTGTATCAGGTGCCTCTCAAGCCCTCAGAAACCTCCCTGAGGCCCAGGAATCACCTCTCCTACATGTCTGTATCCCTGATGGCACCAAACATGGCGCCATGTTCTTATTGTATGTCAGTGGAAACAGTATCACTATGTGTCACAGGTACACACAGCCTTCTCATGATCAGGGCTTGGGTCCTTGCAGTCTGGGCGTGGGTACTTTCAGGGCATATTGCCAGATTAAACAGCTGAGCTCCCACACCAATACCATCAGAGCTGCCTGGCTAGGGTGTTCCTGTGGAGCCAGCTCTGCTCTCAGGGCATCAGTGTGATGGTGGTGATATCAGCTGTCGCTTAAGGATACCCACTTGTGCCAGGCCACAATGTTAAGACCTTACATGCCCCAACTCATCAGGCCCTCACAACAGCCTTAGGAAGGAGGTACTATTATTATCCCCATTTGACAGATAAAGATACTAAGCTTAGAGTTCTGAGCCCATCACAGATTTTAATTATTTAGTTATTTATTTGAGACAGGGTCTCACTTTGTTGCCCAGGCTGGAGTGCAGTGGCACAATCATGGCTCACTGCAGCCTTGACCTAGGCTCAAGTGACCCTCCCACCTCAGCCTCCTGAGTAGCTGGGACTACAGGTGCACAACACTACACCTGGCTAATTAAAAAACTTTTTTTTTTTTTTTTTTTTTTTGTAGAGACAGTCTTGCCATGTTGCTCAGGCTGGCCACCACAGAGTTTAATAAACACTTGGCAGACTCTTTTCTTTACCTTCTCTCTTTGCTTATACTAATGGTTCAAATGTTCCTTCCCAAAATCCTGCTGGGGCACAAGGACAGGCCCAGTAAGAAAATCTGCCAGGCTTGGTACAGGTGGGCACCAGGGGGCAGTCAGGGGAAGAAGAACTCTTCTGCACTCTCAGACCTAGGTGGCAGAAGCTCTAGGCAAGAGAAGCGATCCTGAGTCCTAACCATCTAAGCCTGTAATTGAGGCACAGAGGTATCCAAAAGTGTCCTGTTGGTTTAGGTTACAGGTGAAATCTAGCTGAGCAGAATGGAGAACTCTTATCTCACAAATGAGAACACATCTGGCTTTGATACATAAGATCTAGTTTTTCTTTCTTTTTTTTTTTTTTGAGATGGAGTCTTGCTCTGTTGCCCAGGCTGGAGCGCAGTGGTGTGATCTCAGCTCACTGCAACTGAGAGGTGACAACGTGCTAGCAGCCCTCGCTCTCGGCACCTCCTCAGCCTCGGTGTCTGCTCTGGCTGTGCCTGAGGAGCCCTTCAGCCTGCCACTGCACTATGGGAGCCCCTCTCTGGGCTGGCCAAGGCCGGAGCTGGCTCCCTCTGCTTGTGGGGAGGTGTGGAGGGAGAGGCAGGACTTGTGCAGGCAGGACTTGTGGGCCAGTGCCAGTTCCGGGTGGGAGCGGTCTTGGCGGGGCCGCACTCAGAGCAGTTGGCTGGTGCCACCAGCCCCAGGCAGTGAGGGGCTTATCACCTGAGCCAGCAGCTGCGGAGGGTGCGCCAGGTCCCCCAGCACTGCTGGCCCACCTGCACGGCGCCTGAATTCTCCCCAGGCCTCAGCTGCCTCCGGGGCAGGGCTCAGGACCTGCAGCCAGCCATGCCTGAGCCCCACCCCCACCCCGCCATGGGCTCCCGAATGACCCGAGGCTCCCCAACGGGCACCTGCCCCCTGCTCCAGGGCGCCCAGTCCCATCGACTGCCCAAGGGCTGCGGAGTGTGGGGCCTGGTGCTGCATCCACTAGGCGAAGCCAGCTGGGCTCCTGAGTCAGGTGGGGACTTGGAGAACTTTTATGTTCAGCTGAAGGATTGTAGGTGCACCAATCAGTGTTCTGTGTCTAGCTCAAGGTTTGTAAACACACCAATCAGCACTCTCTGTCTAGCTCAAGGTTTGTGGATGCACCAATCGGCACTCTGTATCTAGCTAATCTGGTGGGGACTTGGAGAACTTTTACGGCTAGCTAGAGGATTGTAAATGCAACAATCAGCACTCCCTGTCTAGCTAAAGGATTGTAAATGCACCAATCAGCACTCTGTCTAGCTCAAGGTTTGTAAATGCATCAATCAGCACTCTGTGTCGAGCTCAAGGTTTGTAAACACACCAATGAGCACTCTGTGTCTAGCTAATCTAGTGGGGACTTGGAGAAGTTTTCTGTCTAGCACTCTGTGTCTAGCTAAAGGATTGTAAATGTGCCAATCAGCACCCTGTCAAAACAGACCAATCAATTCTCTGTAAAATGGACCAATCAGCAGGATGTGGGTGGGGGTCAGATAAGGGAATAAAAGCAGGCTGCGGGAGCCAGTAGTGGGAAGCCACTCAGGTCCCCTGCCACACTGTGGAAGCTTTGTTCTTTTACTCTTCGCAATAAATCTTACTGCTGCTCACTCTTTGGGTCCACACCACCTTTATGAGCTGTAACACTCACCGTGAAGGTCTGCAGCTTCACTCCTGAGGCCAGCGAGACCATGAACCCGCCAGAAGGAATGAACAACTCCAGATGCGCTGCCTTTATGAACTGTAACACTCACCGCGAGGGTCCGCAGCTTCATTCTTGAAGTCAGCGAGACCAAGAACCCACCAATTCCAGACACACAACCATCAAGTGATCCTCCTGCCTCAGCCCCCATCCCGCCCCAGTAACTGGGATTACAGGCACGCACCACCATGCCCAGCTAATTTTTGTATTTTTTAGTAGAGATGGGGTTTCACCATGTTGGCCAGGCTGGTCTCGAACTCCTGACCTCAGGTGATCTGCCCACCTCAGCCTCCCAAAGTGCTGGGATTACAGGCATGAGCCACTGCGCCTGGCCCGTAAGATCTAGTTTCTCTTGAAAAGTTGTATAACAGGATTCTGTAAATTCTGAGACTTAAGTCTCACATATTTTACTACTTTTTCAAGTATCACAAGAGGAATAAGGAGAAATCCAGCATATGCAGCCTTACCACAACCGAGTGCACTACATCTGGCAAGCAAACAAGCATGGAAAGGGGGGAAGCGCCCAGAATGGAGGAGCTCATGAAGTGTCTTAGCAGAGACAACATGGCAACATCATCATGTGTGCAGCTCCAATGGCATGGGCAGGAGCACTGACCCCAAAAGAGCCAGAAAATGAAAGTCCAATGACCCGAGTGTGAAGGAATTCAGTAGAAAAGATTATGCTTCACTCCACATGTCAGCTGTAAAATCCACAGTGGTCTAGATAGGAAAGTGGATCACCTGAAAGACTAGCCTGACACTTAGAAAGAGACCATGTGGGGCTGGGCATGGTGGCTCATAATCCCAGCACTTTGGGAGGCCGACGTGGGAGGACTGGTTGAACTCAGGAGTTCAACACTAGCCTGGACAACATAGTGAGACCCTATCTCTACAAAAAAGAATTTTTTAATTAGCTGGGCATAGTGGCACATATCTGTAGTCCCAGCTACTTGGGAGACTGAGGCAGGAGGATCACTTGAGCCCAGCAGGTCAAGGCTGTAGTGAGCTATGATTATGCCACTCTGGGCAACAGAATGAGACACTGTCTCAAGGAGAAAAAAAAAAAAAAAGACCATTTTGGGTTCATCCCTACTTTCTCAGAACTCTCAGCTATCTGTGCTAGAAGTCAACTGAGGAAGAAAACCAAAACCACAGCAGAATAGAGACAGTGGAGCACAATGGTGGAACCTGTGCTCTGCTGGCATGTGAGGCCCTCCAGGCTCCTGTCCTCACTCTGACCCTCACCTAGGACAGGTATTTATTCTCTAAGCCTTAGTTTCTCAACCCTAAAATAGAAACAGAGTGTCAGCCTTTCAGAGTTGTTGTAAGCATTAAATAAGGCAGGTAAAGCATTCAGCATAGGGTCTAGCACAGTGGTTGTCAACTGGGGGTTATTTTGTCCCCTAGGGGACATTTGGCAACGTCTGGAGACATTTTGGGGTGCTCCACTGAGGAGCTACTGGCATCTAGTTGCTTGAGGTCAGAGATGCTGCTAAACATCCTACAACACACAGGACAGCCCCTACAACAAAGAACTGATCAACCCAAAATGTCCATAGTGCAAAGATTTAGAAACCCTGGCCTGGCACAGAGCAGGCACTCCATAAATATGAGCTATAAAATTCATTTATGATTATAACAATAAACCAGCTGCAGTTTCTTTCTCTCAAGGATAAGCAGCACCTATCATTAAAATAAGAGATAAAATGTATTACTTACTCCACTTCTTGTAATATTGGGTAACAGATCTGTTATTCTGGAGACAGGAAGAGTCTGAATCTTGGTTGATTCTGGGGAACCCAGTAACTTTGTGAAATAAATAACATAGCAGAGCACCAGAACTGTGGTATAGAAAAGCTGAGAAAACAAATAAACTGTTTTAATAAAGGCATAATTAAGATATGCCTATAAATTTGATCTCAAAGGCCAATCAAGTAATAGAACTCTCTTGATTAACTGCACTTTCTATTCAGCAATGCCTTACCCTCTGGGAAATGGCACTATTCACTTAGACCCAACTTCACTTCAGCATCTACCTGCAAAGTGTTCCCAACACTTCACTTAACTGGGAGAACATAACTCTTCTCAGCAGGCACAATGTAATTTCCGTAACAGATGTACACTAGCTCAATTACCACAGCAATGTCTGATACATTCTCAAAAGGTGTGTATTTGGCCAAAGGAATGGCTCTTCCACCTAGTCAGCACACTGCTAAGATCCATGTATCCTAACTGTGCTAATATCCAAGGACTTGTCATCATCAAGGACTGTGGGTTTTCCATAAACCCCGGAAACCTGTGCCATTAATGATTACAAAGCACAATTGAGCTGCTGACTCTCTCCTCTTCGCCAGGGCAAGAGCTACTACTGACGGGGGAGGAAAGGGTAGGGTGATAAGAAGGCCCAACCCTCCCTCCACCCATCCAGGACAAAAGAATGGCTTCTGGCCAGGAGCAGTCAGATGGGTTTTGTCTGCAGATTGAGGAGGAAAGTCCAAAAAAGCCCCTTTTTACAAGCTCCCTTCAACCCTCTTTCCCTCCTGAGAACAGCAGTGCACACTGGTTCAAGAAAGACTGGGACCTCCAGATTTGCTTTCAGCCTGGCAATATCAAGGCTGCTCCTGTAGTAAAGGCACAGGGCAAGGAAAAAGAAGAGTCTCAGTTTAGTAGGTGTGGGCCCTTCTGCTCTCCACTCCCAATCATACCTGAGATGGAGCCCATCATCCACCAGCCTTCTTCCTTCATGCTCCAAGCCCTTAAAACTCCAGCAGCACTGCTGTGAGCCACCCACCTGATGCCAGTGTCCTCTGTGAGAAGTACCCTCTACATAAATCATTACTAAGAATCTTATCTTCCTAAACATTAATGAAAACTACAACTGCTTAGCACTGTAAAATGTTCTGGTAACTATCTGATCTTAAATTTCATTTTTAAAAATAGCACTTGTATTCTAGTTATATTTTTATTAGAACTAGAAATATGAACTAGAACTAGGAAATAATGAGATGGAAATGAAGCCTAAATTGCTAAAACTGAAAATATACCTACTCTGACTTGATTCATGCTCTCTGAATTATGTGAGATTTCAATATAAGTTTAAAACAGGCTTGGCAGAGTTTCCACCTATTCTGCAAAAACCTGATGGAAATCCAGGGAAAATAATACACATGCAATTTGATTCCCACCCCACCCCCCACTGCTTTTTTTCTCCTTTACAAAACTACCAGACAACCAAAGATCAGTTTGAAACAGGCTTGCCCACTGAATGTCTAAAAACGGTTTTTGATGTTTGACAATGAAGTCCAGTGTGTGGCCCTCACCAGGTCCCTAGAAACACCTACGGTCTCAGTGTATGGAACACAATGGACCTGGCAGCCAGAGTAGCAGTGCCAAGGCCACCCTTCTGGTGCTTCCACCTCCTGCACAGGCATGGGTACTGCAAATGCAAACCCCACAGCGGTGGGAACAAGAAGAAAAACCAGTTGGAGAAACAAAGATCATATAAAAAGTTAAAAGCCATGATTCTTACCTGGGCCAAAGAGAAAATGTACAATCCCCAGTGAGGCAACCACAGCACGAGAAAAGCTGTCAGAATGCTCTTAAGAATTACCGACAGGCTCTCAGCAATCACCTGCAAACATGTGGTTAAGGTGCAGTTTACAAACATTATCAAAAAGTCAAGACATAACGGAATGATAGACAGAAAATCTCAGGCAGTGGCTACTCTGGCTATGGGGACAGGGCACACAGCTGGACATAAGTATCAGTAACGTTTTACTTCTTGGGTAGGGTGGTGGGTTCATGGATCTTCCAGTATATTACACCTTAAGATTTACATTATATATATATTCTTTTGTAATCTATTATAAAAGATGAAGAGAGAAAAGTTAATATTAATATACAACTAAATACAGTCACTAGAAAAACCTGAAAAACCTTTACGGTTCTTCTACATTCTGACTTGAACTAATAAATTATTAGCAAACCTGTTTTTTATTTATGGTCAAACAGAGGTGAACTTTAGCCTAGCCTATCTGACAAATTTCAAGTGGAAGAACTTAACTGACCATGTTAACTTAACTGACCATGTTAACCTTTTTCTAAATACATTTTTAGGTGCAAGTCTGGAAAAATCATTCTCTCCTATAAAAGCATTTTTTTTTTTTTTTTTTTTTTTTTTTTGAGACGGAGTCTCGCTCTGCCGCCCAGGCTGGAGTGCAGTGGCCGGATCTCAGCTCACTGCAAGCTCCGACTCCCGGGTTCACGCCATTCTCCTGCCTCAGCCTCCTGAGTAGCCATTCACAGCAGAAGGCGCACTCACCTTGAGCTTCACAAACATATGTGCTTGTGCCAAGACCCAAAAGGGCTCTCCTAGAAGCTCCACCACTGCCGAGAGACCAAACAGCACCACTCCAGTTGCATAGTGAGGGACAACATGAGGATCAGGCACTTCAAGCAGCTGCAACCAGACCCAGCCCAGGAATAAGGACCAAAACACACCCAGGGGGACTCTGGAAGAGGAGAAAAAAATAATTCACTAAATTTTAAAATAAATAGAAATATCTATTAAAATAGTAACACTGAACAGAAAAAAAAAAGTTATAATACAAATCGCTCCCATTTATTTATTAAGATACTAACTACATGCCAGGCACTATGATTAACGCCCCTTATCTCACTGACACCTCACAATGATCCTCTGTCAGTATCTCCATTAAAAAAAAATGAGGCCGGGCGCGGTGGCCCAAGCCTGTAATCCCAGCACTTTGGGAGGCCGAGACGGGCGGATCACGAGGTCAGGAGATCGAGACCATCCTGGCTAACACGGTGAAACCCCGTCTCTACTAAAAAATACAAAAAACTAGCCGGGCGAGGTGGCGGGCGCCTGTAGTCCCAGCTACTCGGGAGGCTGAGGCAGGAGAATGGCGTAAACCCGGGAGGCGGAGCTTGCAGTGAGCCGAGATCGCGCCACTGCACTCCAGCCTGGGTGACAGAGCCAGACTCCGTCTCAAAAAAAAAAAAAAAAAAAAAATGAGGAAACTGAGGCTGATAGGCACGGCAATTTGGCCAAGGTCATGAACAGCATCAAGAGCAGAAGCAAGACTCAATCCTGCTATAACTCCAAAGCCTACTCTTCTATCCACTGGGTTACACATACTGACCCATAAGCAAAATTCCCAGAAAGAAAATGCCTGTTGTTGAGAATGACTGACAGACTGTATACAGCTGTTCCTTGCATCCCAAATAACAAACAGAGCAGTGCTCAGTATCCTTTCATATGTTTCACATGTGTGCCACGGGGCATTTAAATATGCCTGGGTGGTTAACAGTTGTTCCTCTAATAAAATGAACACCTACCAGCCCTCACGACAGTCATTTCTGTGAGGCAAAAAGGAGTTATGCAAGGGCAGCATTGGGAAACAACCTCAACCCCCAGCCCTCCCTGCAGGGACATAGCTGGAGAAAAGCCATTGCAATTTCAAGCTAATGTACTTGATCTTCAAGAATATCCTAAAAGACTCAGAACTGAAGTCATATAACAAAATTGAAGAAAAATGTAATGAACCCATAAGAGGCTTTCAAGAAATACTAAATCTAAGTGGCTGTTAAAAGCTCAAAAGATATTATAGAGCAAAAAGATTAGGAATAAAAAAGATGGCACAGGCCAAGTGGAGCCCACAGTGGTGATCAGAAACAGCAAGAAACCACCTCCAAAGAGGATAAAACCAGGGCTAGAAACCTGGCCCAGAAACCCCAACCTAGAACCTCTTCCTGGCTCCTGGACATCCAGAGAGAAAATGAGCCAAGAAGTTCCTTTGACACAAACACTCTCCCCTTCTTGTCGTATGCCTGCTCCCAGAAACCCATGGCGAAGCTGAATCTGGAGGCAATTCAGCTTTAGGCACGTGTTACTGTTTCACTTCCAATGCTCACTACACCTGCCTTCCTGAAATGTGTCTCCTGCCAAAGCACAACTCACGTTAGCCACAGCAGGTTGAGGGTCTGGCTCCAATCTCGCTGGGTGACCCCACTGAGACATGCTCTGCGGAAGGCCTCTCTGGCCAGGAAGAGGGTGGTTGAGTAAAGCAGCGTTAGTCTGTAAATGAAAGGCAGAAATCAATAAGGTCTCGAGTTTTTTCACAGAGAGAACTTCTGGGATATTTCCAGCAACAGGGAGGAGATAAAGTCTTGGTCATAAACCACTGATGGTGACATGGAGGGCAGTGGGCTCTTACAGGACCCCCTACTGGTCTGATCCATGAGAACTACTGAGTTAGGAACCAAACGAAAGATACCTGAGAGTGTGTGCCTACAGTTACATGAAGGATAGAAACTGCTGCAGTGGTCTCAAAAGCCTGTAGCCTTCATAGCTACAGGAAGAGGTATGGCCATGATCACAAGGACGAGAAGATAATAAGATTATAACCCCACCCTTCTTGGTCACGCGGACACGAGTGACCAATAGCCCCTGTGAGAAAAGCTGAGCCTCTACCGAGTGGAGGCTCTGGCCAAAAGAATCTCAAGACAGACAATAAGGCTGGCAACCATTACAGAGGCTGCTGCAACCCAGATCAGCAAGGCTTGCCTGGGCACCTCCCAGATGGGCAGCACCTAGGTGAGCCTTCCTGCACCTTAGTGAGGAGTAGCTGAGATTTTCCTCCTCAATAGGCAGCAGCCTGGGTGAAGCCAGAGTGGGGATGGCCCAGGGTGAAGGTCTCTGGGGTTGTCCAAGGATTATCCTGCTACCCAGTGCCTCTGTGGAGCATTGCAAATAAGGAGATGGAACCGAACCTTAAGCAGCGGGGCAGGGCAGGCCAGACAAGGGCTGTCAAAGTAGGGACCTGCCAATCTCAGGACGCCTGCCTCAGAAAGCCCCCTTTCTTTCTGCTTTTAAAAAAGTATTTCTTAGGGCCAAGTGCCTATATTTCTCAGGCTCATGCCTATAATCCCAGCACTTTGGGAGACTAAGATGGGAGGATTGCTTGAGCCCAGGAGTTCGAGACCAGCCTGGGCAACACAGTAAGACCTCATCTCTACAAAAAATAAAAAAAAATTTAGCCAGGTGTGGTGGTGCACACCTGTAGTCTCAGCTGCTCAGGAGGCTGACATGGGAGCATCGCTTGAGCCCAAGAGGTCAAGGCTGCAGTGAGCCATGATGGTGCCACTGCACTCCAGCCTGGGCGACAGGGCAAAAGGAAGAAGAAGAACAAGAACAAGAAGAAGACGAAGATGAAGACGAAGAAGAGGAAGAGGAAGAATAAGAGGAAGGAGAAGAAGGAGAAGGAGGAGGAGAAGGAGAAGAAGGAGAAGAGGAGGAAGAGGAGGAAGAGGAAGTGGAAGAGGAAGGAGGAAGAGGAAGGGGGAAGAGGAAGAGGAAGAAGGAAGAAGAGGAAGCAGAAGAGGAAGAAGGAAGAAGAAGCAGAAGAAGAAGGAAGAAGAGGAAGAGGAAGGAGGAAGAGGAAGCGGAAGAAGAAGAGGAAGCGGAAGAAGAAGATGAAGAAGAGGAAGCAGAAGAAGAAGAAGAAGAAAGAAGCAGCAGCAGCAGTGGAAGAAGCAGCAGCGGAAGAAGCAGCAGCAGAAGAAGCAGCGGAAGAAGAAGAAGCAGAAGAAGCAGAAGCAGCAGCAGAAGCAGCAGCAGCAGCAGAAGAAGCAGAAGAAGAAGGAAGAAGCAGAAGCAGAAGAAGGAGAAGCAGAAGCAGAAGAAGGAGAAGCAGAAGGAGAAGGAGAAGCAGGAAGAGGAGGAGGAGGAGGAGGAGAAGGAAGAGAAGGAGAAGGAGAAGAAAAAAAGAAAACAGTATTTCTCAAAGAATGGTCCCTGTTTCAAAATCACCTAAGGAGCTTGTAAAAATGCAGACTCCTGGGCCCTTCTTCAGCACTACGTAGTGCAAAACTCCACAGATTATTCCTTTCCTCAAAGCTTCAGTCCTGCCACTAAGCTCTGAGACCAGAGCCAAGAGGATATGTTTGTTAAGTATTAGACATGAAATGCTGTCTGGAACATAGTGCCTCATTTATCAGGACATGAAGACACACCTGAGAAGCTGAGCTATTCCGAGCACTCACATCATGTCATGTATTTTGTGTCATTTGTGAAGACAAAATATGTGTGGGTGTCCTTGAATAGAAAGGAGGTGAGTAGAAGAAACAAGCTGAGTCTAAAAGACAAAGAAGTCATCTTTCCAAGAGCCTCCAAGAAACTAATGACAAGGACTCAAGCTCGGATCCCAGTTGCTGTATCCCAATTATAAAATCACTGAGGAGGGAAGGAAGGTGGCTGCTCCAGCCCTGCAATTATGAAGTGCATCCTCACGAAGTGCACAATTTCTGCTTCCTTTGCTGTCAGCAGGACAAGAACATAGGATTATACCTGAGAGGGAGTTTTTAATGAATTACTCCCACTCTTCTCCTTCCTGACTTCCAAGAGCAGGAAAACCAGAACAGCTGGCAGAGAAATGTGCATTTGGAGGCTGCTAATGGAAAACACTCCATGAGTCCATTAAAAGCAACATTGCCTGCATGTCCCTCCACTCCTGCACGCTTCTCCTCAGCCCACTGCTAAAACACTCTGCTTCTGGTAAAGGTCCATGCTTCTAGAATCCAAGGATGACACACAGGTACAGAGTGTGAAGAAAGCCTGGCTAGGAAGGTGAACTCTGACAGTGCCAGGGTGCATCTCCTCCTACCTTACATTTACCACGCCAACAATTTCCTTTGACAGGAAGCGAAGAACAAATGCATTCAAGACAAAGGTGATCAACCGAAACAACACCTATAGAAAAAGAGGAAAAATACGTAAGAATAAATGACGTTAGGAGTGTTTACTTTGCTGAAATGAGAACAATGTGCCTGTTCTTCCCAACGTGAGGTAATGACATACACCAGCTTTGTCACGGAGACTCTGCTCTAAGACGCCCGACCTGTCTGCATTTCTCCTGAAATTTCACTCCTTGGGATCTCTCAGCACTCCTGTGCAGTGGTCAGAGAACCCTGGAAGGCACTTGGAAGGCTCCCTAATTTATTAATAACAAGAAAGAGGCCCCAGTAGACTCACTGAGTTTCTACAGGTTCAAAGTCAAGCTCTTGAGGAAGCAGAAAGAGAATTCTAGTTAGTGGTTCACCTTGCTGGGCCCTAGCCACACTCCCCCACTCCAGGCTGTTTAGAAATAGCACACACTTAGCAAGTGGGAGCCTTAAGGGTATAGCAGACTCACCAGAAATCATGGGGTCTAATTTCTCTTTTCTTCTCTGCCTTATAATATCTAGGAATTTCAATAATGACATTTAATCGTTCTGAACTTCAGTTTTCTCAATTAGAACACAAAAATGTATATCTTTATTGAATACTTGTCTCTTTCCAGAGAGGAGTTGAAATACCTTTTAAATGACGCTGCAAAAATAAGACAACGTAGTGTAACATGGGGGGAAGGGAGACAGAGTCCAGTTATTGCTGCTTGAAAGGGACATATCCTGAGACTTCCCAATCTGTCAATTCAAGAAAACCACCTAAGCAAAGAACTTCTCCCATGAGACACAGAGAGGATGACTGTCATTAAACAGGGTTGCTAAATGGGGATGCTAGGAAGAGTGCAAACCTCATTCACTAAATGACTCCCTCCTGCATCCCAGCAGCAAATGAAAAAATCACTTCTGTGTTAAGCACCCTCAGAGTTATCTGTGAAGAGCTGCAATTTGGAAGATTTGATCTAAGCATATCAAAGGACTACTGTGGTCATAAAGGTATGACCAAAAAGGGAGAGCACCTAACACTGTAACTAAAGTGTCACAGAGCAACAAGGTCTCCAAAGCCAAGAAATGACCATCTCAACCTTTATGGAGTCAAAGGTGGTCTTTTGAGTCCGATGACAGCTCTGTAGCTGCTCCTTAGAAACATGCAGATATGGCCAGGCACGGTGGCTCATGCCTGTAATCCCAGCACTTTGGGAGGCCGAGGCAAGTGGATCAACTGAGGTCAGGAGTTCAAGACCAGCCTGACTAACATGGTGAAACCCTGTCTCTACTAAAAATACAATTCACCATTTAGCTCTTCTATCTGTTATCTTCTAATTGTTATAAGCCTCAATGTCCTCTGTCAAATGAGGTTACCTATCACGTAGGGTTGATTAAAAGGATCAAAAGAGATTGCAGGGCTGAGTACGGTGGCTCATGCTTGTAATCCCAACACTTGGTTGGGCGCCGTGGCTCACACCTGTAATCCCAGCACTTTGGGAGGCCGAGGCGGGTGGATCATGAGGTCAGGAGATCGAGACCATCCTGCCTAACACAGTGAAACCCTGTCTCTACTAAAAATACAAAAATTTAGCCAGGCATGGTGGTGGGCGCCTGTAGTCCCAGCTACTCGGGAGGCTGAGGCAGGAGAATGGCGTGAACCCTGGAGGTGGAGCTTGCAGTGAGCCAAGATACTACACCACTGCACTCCAGCCTGGGCGAAAGAGTGAGACGCTGTCTCAAAAAAAAAAAAAAAAAAAAAAAAAAAAAAAAAAAAAAAAAAAAAAAAAATTCCCAACACTTTGGGAGGCTGAAAGGTAGGAGAACCACTTGAAGCCAGGAATTTGAGACCAGCCTGGACAACACAGTGAGACCTCATCTTTACAAGAAATATTTTTAAAAGAAATGAGACTGTAGAAGTGAAAGCATTTTTTAAGTGCATACAAATGAAAGGCATTAATACTTTCAGCATGGGTGGCTCAGAATTAAGATAGAACAAGCTCTCAAATTCTTGTAGAATAAGATGTAACCGCAAAGCTACCTAAAGTGTCTACAGTGTAATTCGAGAAAGCATACAAGAATGAAAACACTCAAGAAACCATATAAAAATATGGTTATTAAAACAAAAAAATCTGAGCAAGACTCCATCCCAAAAACAAAAAACAAAAAAAACATGTGTACACACTTATGTTAACCTCAAAGCTATCACTGTCTAAGAAACTTAATGTTGGCCGGGCGCGGTGGCTCAAGCCTGTAATCCCAGCACTTTGGGAGGCCGAGATGGGTGGATCACGAGGTCAGGAGATCGAGACCATCCTGGCTAACACGGTGAAACCCCATCTCTACTAAAAAAATACAAAAAAACTAGCCGGGCAAGGTGGCGGGCGCCTGTAGTCCCAGCTACTCGGGAGGCTGAGGCAGGAGAATGGCGTGAACCCGGGAGGCAGAGCTTGCAGTGAGCCGAGATCCCGCCACTGCACTCCAGCCTGGGCTACACAGCAAGACTCCGTCTCAAAAAAAAAAAAAAAAGAAACTTAATGTTTCAGGCCATATCCGTATCTCCTCTTTTTTTTTTTTTTTTTTTTTGAGATGGAGTCTCGCTCTGTCGCCCAGGCTGGAGTGCAGTGGCACAACCTCAGCTCACTGCAAGCTCTGCCTCCCAAGTTCATGCCATTCTCCTGCCTCAGCCTCCCGAGTAGCTGGGACTACAGGCGCCCGCCACCACGCCCAGCTAATTTTTTTGTATTTTTAGTAGAGACGGGGTTTCACCGGGTTAACCAGGAGGGTCTTGATCTCCTGACCTCACGATCCACCCGCCTCGGCCTCCCAAAGTGCTGGGATTACAGGCATGAGCCACCACACTTTGGGAGGCCGAGCCCATATCTCCTAATTGGTTTGAATAAAGGTTGCAGCTAATGAAGCTGAGGTTGCTTATGCCACCCAGTATTTGCCACACACTGTAGCCCTTATTAGCAACACAGCCTTCATTTACTTCTGCAAAGGACTTTACAGCTTTTGTTTTAACATAAGGTCTCACTCTGTTGCCCAGGCTGGAGTGCAATGCCATAATCACAGCTCACTGCAGCCTCAACCTCCCAGGCTCGAGATCCTCCCACCTCAGCCTCCTGCGTAGCTGGGACTACAGGTGCACGCCATCACGCCCATCTAATTTTTGTATTTTTTATAAAGACAAAGTTTCACCATGTTGCCCAGGCTGGTCTTTAACTCCTGAGCTCAAGCAATCCTCCTGCCTTGGCCTCCCAAGTGCTGGGATGACAGGCATGAGCCATCACGTCCAACCAACTTTACAGTTTTAAAAAAGGCTCTCTCACATCTGTTAAATTATTTGACATTTAAAAACAACCAGGTAAATGCACAGGAAGCAAGACTGGGGGTTAAGTGATTTCCTCAATGTCACATGGCAAGCAAATGACCCAGCTTGACCTTACAGGTAAGCCACCTGACTCGTAGTCCAGTGTGTTTTCCGCTACAACTTGTTTTCGTTTTATGAAGCCTATCTGGGTACTAAGATATTATCAAAGGCTGAAAAAAAAAAAATCAGTACTGTGGATAAAGCACTAAACTCAGTTATTTGTGTAGTGAAACAGGAAAAAAAAACAAACAACCCTAAGTAAACTTAGAATGGCTAACATTTACTAAGCACGTATCATGTGCAAGGCACTCTTCAACATGCTTTCCATAGGTTATCTCATTTCATTCCTACATTGACTATTTTAAAAATCCTTATTACCCTAATAAAAATAGCTACATTTATTAAGTACTTGTAGTGTGCCAGGCACTTAAGAGGCATGATTTCATCTAATCTTCCTAATGACCCTGTGAGGTTGCACTATGGTTCTCATTTAAGATGAAGAAACTGATACTAACGGAAGTCACGGGATTTATCCCGAAGGAGTGCATCTAGCAAGTGACAAGGCCCAAACTCAAGCCCCATTCTGCTTGGTTCTTTCTTCTGCCCTCCATCTGCCTAAGATAAGGGGTAGGGTAGATTCAAGACTTGTGTGAAGTAGGGTTGATTGGCTCAAGAGTGAGACAGAGAGATATTGAGCCGCTTGACTTAAAAGGTTCAGCTCCTGGGGTTGAAAGAATCTTCAGATACCATTTGGACTAACTGGCATGTATCATATCTGACAGATGACAAAAATTAGGGCCAAGAGGTGAAGTGACTTGTCCAAGATCACATAAACAGAAGATGCAGCCAACATGTATTAAATGCATACTAAGAGCCGGGTACTGTGTTAAGTACGTTTATTTGAATGATCCCAATCAATTCTTGCTTATGAGCTAGGTACTACATATTATTACCCCCATTTTACTAGTGAGGAACTCAGGCTCTGCAGGTGAAGTCACTTGTCCTGGGTCACATAGCAATCCAAGCCTAACTCCAGATTCCTGTTCTTAGCTATGCCATATGGTCTCTCGGAACTCAGTGGGACTCAAAGTTTGAGGGCCGTGTTTGATGAAGGAAATGAACCCCTTGCCTGAAAAATACCAGATTCTCGAGCACGAAATACCAGTCCCTCACCCCGACCACCTGATCTAATTCACTCCTCCTGCCATATAGGAAATAGAATGCTCTGAAGGAAAGCGGCTTGTCTGCAGTCACCCGGCCTAGACTCTGAAGGCAGGCTCCCATCTCCAGGCCAGGCCCCCCCTCACCAACGCCACCGTCTCCGGTCGACCCCCACCCCCTCCATTGCGGGGTCCACCTCGGAACTGGGTCGGCCCTGGGGCAGGCTCTCAAGGGCCCGAGGGCTGCCATCCCGCAAATCTCGGCTGCAGTACAAGCTGAAACCTGACGGGCAGAGAGTACCTGCAGGATGAGACCGGAGGAGGCCAGCCGGGCCGCCTGGCCCAGCACCTCCTGGCTGCCCATAGCCTGGGCGCCAGGCTCAGACACCAGGAAATGCCGCCGCCACTCCGCTTAGTCGCGATAAGATGGCGTCACGGAGCGCCTCGCTCTCTGATTGATGGCCTTGAGACAGGGGGGCGGGGCACGAGAGGTTCTGGCCCTTTAAGTGGGCCCGGCTCGGTTGGTCTGTTATGGCGCCTGGCGCTTCCCATTTCAGTAGGTCCTGCGCTGTCTGTCGCTTGTGCGCTGTCTGCCCCTCTCTTCCCCGTATAAACGAAATAGTGTGGCGAGTACTAAGAGATACTGTTAAAGAAGTCAAAGTTCCTTCTCTGAGGCTTTCAGCCACCAACCAAGAAGCACTAACTTTCCTGGCCTCACCTGCCAAAAGGGGAACAAACTTCTCATTGGCCTGTTAAGAGGACTCTTACCATTGACCTTTGCTTACAAAATCACAGCCACAGCCCCTCTGAATTAGGCTGGACAGGAATTGTCCTCATTTAACAGAGAAAGAACTGAGGACCAGAAGTTAGATACAGCACTGTCATGAGAATGGTTTTGTGAAATCCTTCAGAAAGCTCTGAGAATTGGCCCCTGTGGTTAGAGATGAGTAAAGCCTTGGAGATGGGAAGTGACTTGTTCGAATCTACACAGCTTGTTTCCTGACTGAGTGGATGTCAGGCTCCTGATCCTAAACGTATCACTCTTACCTGTATGCTAGAAATTGTGAGGGCAGAGTGGAAGAAGGACTGGAAGTGCTTCGTAAAATGTAAAGCGCCCAACATACACAGTAAGCCGTTGCTCTGTCAGTGTTCTTATTATCTACCACGCAGGCTGTAGGAAGCTCAGTCTTTCCCCAGTCTCTTTTAGGCCTCACATGATATGGCCCCAACCTATCTTCTACTACCTTTCACATGATAATTGCCCTTCCCAACACTATCTAGGCCATAGCCATTCCGAGTCCTTACCGGTCCTCAAACAGGTGGTGACTCACTGGCCTTTGCTCCTCCACCCTCTCTGTCCAAAGTGTCTTCCCTGACAGCACCCCTTGCGCTCCTAGACCACACTGTCTTGACTTTCCTGGCCAACCACACCTGGTACCTGCTGTGGACTAAATGTTTGTGTCCCCTCAGGATTCATGTGTTGAAGCCTAATCCCCCAGTGTGATAGTATTAGGAGGCAGGGCTTTTGGGAAGTAATTAGGTCATGAAAGTGGAGCCCTCATAATGGGATTCGTGTCCTTATAAAAAGAGATGTCAGAAAAATGATCTCTGTGTCTACCACTCGAGGATGCAGCAAGAAGGTAGCTGTCTGCAACCAGGAAGGTGTAAAATGTAAAGCACCCAACATACACTTAACAGGAACCAAACTGGCTAGCACCTTGATCTTGGGCTTCCAGCCTCCAGAACTGTGAGAGAGAAATTTCTGCTTTTGACTTACCCAGACTATGGTATTTTGTTACAGCAACCCAAGCAAATTAAGACAGTATTCCTAAAATACTTTGTACCCCTTTATAGTTCCTAGTGCAACCCGCATTATAGCAGAAAGACTAAAATGTGTGTCTCTATTTAATCAGCCCATGAGCTCCAAGAGGGCAGAAGTGCAGCCTTCCTGGTTTTGCCTCCTGAAGTAGTGGTACAGAGCGTTCCTAGGGTTTGCATAAATGTCTCCTGACACATGATTGCTGTTACTGCTGCTGGAAGCAGACTGTGGAACTCAAAGCCTATACACTCCCATCTTGCCAGGTAAAATGACCTCTGTCTTAGTGTGGAGGCCCAGAATGTGAGGTATTTTATTTTTCTTTTCTTATCTTGTCTTTTTTTTTTTTAAACAGGGTCTCACTCTGTCACCCAGGCTAGGGTGCAGTAGTACAGTCTTGGTTCACTGCAGCTTCCATCTCCTGGGCTCAGGTGATCCTCCCACCTCAGCCTTCTGATTAGCTGGGACTACAGGCACGCACCATCGGACTTGGCTAATTTTTTTGCGATTTTTGTAGAGATGGGTTTTTCCCACGTTGCCCAGGCTGGTCTCCAACTCCTGGACTCAAGTGATCTGCCCACCTCAGCCTCTCAAAGTGCCAGGATTACAGGCATGAGCCACCGCACCCGGCCCAAGAATGAGAGCTTTTGACTGTCAGAGAGAACTGGCCTTGAATCCTCATTCTACCACTCACTGACTAGGTGACCTTAGTATGCTCAGCTGCTAAATAGGGATATTATCTGTCCTGTAAAAAGAGTCATAAGGATTATATCAGACAAGTCTGGCCCTCAAGGAGCTTAAATTCTAGTGAAAGGGAAACTGAAAAAAACTCTAACAAACAAATAAAATTTCACATAGGGCTAAGTGCTATGAAAGAATGAAACCAGATAAGATCATAGAGGCTTTGGAAGAGAGAGAGGGGTGCTGTTTTAGGAGGAGTGAGTTGGGCACCTACCTGGGGAGGAGTGTACTTGGAGAATAGAGAAAGTGCTGGAGGGTCCAGGTATTTGGCATAATGACTGAGATGCTAAAGACCTTGACCTGGGCAGCCTTCCCACCCCCATGGACTGTGGGCCAGCAGGTGAGACGGCCTCCCACTTCCTTTATTCCCAGCCAAGCAGTCTCCTCCTCCACAGCTCATCGCCAGAGAAGAACCAGCCAAGAGTTCATCATGTGCACACACTCCTAAGCCTGGCATCCGTGTAAGCTGCTTTGGGAGGGAAGAAGTGATCATTTTGCTAGGGAAAAAAAGCCAAAGGGGAAAAGCTCTAAGCTAAGTATAAAGGGCAAAGCATTCTAGGACCCCAAGGTATGGACTCTGTGGGGCTCCTGGGTGAGGAATCCGGGGACTTTTTCTCTTATTTTGGAAGTTAACACTTGGCAAGGAGGGACTGAGCAGAGCCCAGAGCCATGCTGGATTCTGGGGTGGGTGGGGAAAAAGGAACTGTGAGGAGAATCCACAAACATTGACCACTGACTCCATGTCAGGCACCTGTCTGAGCACTGAACATGCGTGTACTCCATCCTCTCAATACCTATGAGAGAGGGACTGCAGATCAGGAAACTGAGGCACAGGGATGTGAAGTAACTCATCCAAGGTCATTCAGCAAAAGAGTGGTCAAGGAGGTGTGTGAACTCGGGTCCCTTCTAATTCCAAATGCGTGAACAGTAATGTTCTTCCCCTCAAAAAACCTTCTGACTGTAAAGGAGACTTAAGAGTCCCCATATGTAAGCCACTGAGAACATATGTGGCATTGAGAGAGTGGAGTCTGGGAGGGCTGCAGTGGTAGAGCTGTGGTAGGCTTGGGGGCGTACCCTCCTCCCCAGCAAGGCTCTCCAAAGGTCTTGACCCTGTTGGAGATACTGGCCTGCACACTCCACTGGGTGTTGCATACTCCATGGTCTTGCCCATGGAGGACTCAGCTCAGGGCTGGAAAGCAATGGCCCACTGGATGTTACATTTTGTATGGGCTACAAACTAAGAATAGTTTTTACATTTGTAAATGGTTGGAAAAAAATCAAAAGAATTTTTCATGACACATGAAAATGGCTGGCCGGGCACGGTGGCTCAAGCCTGTAATCCCAGCACTTTGGGAGGTCAAGGTGAGTGGATCGCTTGAGGTCAGGAGCTCGAGACCAGCTTGGAAACATGGTGAAACCCCACCTCTACAAAAAAATACATAAATTAGCCAGGCATGGTGGTGCGTGCCTGTAGACGCAGCTACTGAGGAGGCTGAGGTGGGAGGATCATTTGAGTTTGGAGAGATCAAGGTTGCAGTGAGCTATGATCATGCCACTGCACTCCAGCCTGGGCAACAGGGTGAGACCCTTGTCTCAAAAAAAAAAAAAAAAAAATTCAATGTCCACAAATAAAGTTTCATTGGAACATAGCCACATCTACCCATTTGTTTACATATCAATAGCTACTCTCTTGCTACAACAGCAGAATAGGTTGGTCCTATTGGGATAATATTGGCTAGCTGAAAATGTTTGCTAGTTGGCTCTTTACAGAAAAACTTTACCAATTCCTGGTGATCACCATTGAGCACCTGGGATATAGTAAACATTTCAATATTGAATGAATGAATGCATGGGTAAGTGCATTGGAATAAATGAATGATGAAGGACTAGGAAAGGAAGAAAAACAAGTACATAGGGCTCTTTCCTGGGGGTCACCTAGTTTGGAGAGGAAGTGGCCTCTTGAGAATACCAGACTGTAATTGGTGGTCATTAAAGGAGCTGTTTTCCCCAGCCTTCCTCCCCGCCTCCCGTGTCTGTGCCAGGTAGCCTCCCTGTCAGGGAAATCTGACCCAAGCCACCTATTTTATTACAAAGCTGGAGGGAAGTGCCGGAGCTGGTACCAAGCCAATTAGGCTCCCAGGGCAGAGGGGCAGGGAGGGAGGCTGCCACTGGGCCAGGAGACAGGGTGGAACCTCTGGTCAGCTGGGCCTTGGATCTCAGCTGGGTGGAGGCAGGAGAGCTGGGCATGGTCTCACACACCAGCCACTAGGTGGCAGATGGTTCTGGGTGAGGGCGCTGCCTGGCCAAGGCTTCTGCTTTCCAGAGCACCACCATCAGAGCCCCTTCCAGAAGCAGGACCTCAAGGCTCTGCCTCTCTCAAAAGTCCCAGGGCATGAGAATGCGGCTGTGATACTAGTCATCCACATCTGTCCATGTAAGCACTGTGCTGGACACGTCACTTTCGTGATCTCATTTAATTCCCATAGCAGCCCTACAATGTAGGCACCATTATTATCCCCATTTTACAGGCTAAGAAACTGAGGCTTAGCAAAGTTAAGGGACTTGCCTAAGTACTAGTGAATGGTAGTGCCAAAATTTGAACTGGGCAATGTGGCTTTCGGTCCCTTAACCAGACCTAACCCAGAGTGTTTATTGTTAATGCTGATTCCTGGGCTCCACCTCAGCAATCTGGGGTAGGCTCAGGAATCTGCATTTACTAACACTCTGCGGGCTTCTTCTTCTTCTTCTTCTTCGTCTTCGTCGTCTTCTTCTTCTTCTTCTTCTTTTTCTCTTTCTCCTCCTCCTTCCTCTTCCTTTTTTTTTTTTTTTGAGATGGAATCTCACTCTGTTGCTCAGGCTGGAGTGCAG